ATTATGACTTGTGTGTAAATGCCTCTTATTTGAAAGTTGATATTTTAAGGTTTTGAAAATTAAAATAAATATCAAATATCATATTTCTTTATAAATAATCATAAATGATGAACAATTATTATTTAAAGGGCAATTCCGACTATTAAAAATTTCATGAGACTTGAAGGTCCAAAAAATCTTAGTTAAGACTTAATGGAGTATAAGTTTATAAATTAAGACTTGTGTTAATATTTATTTTCATCAAATTAATTTCTTTTTAAAAAAAAATGAATTTTTTTTTGTCTAGAAAAACAAGCCAAACATGGTTCATAATTGTAGCAAATGATTTTATTATTTGTTTTTAAAATGTGGAAGGTAAGTATTTTTGAAAATTTAATTTAATTTTATTTTATTTTTTTTTTATTTTTTTCCTCGCAAGAGTGAGATGGTGTTTGATAAGCCAATTCAACATTTAAAATTTAATACATTAAGTGAAACTCACATAAGTCCGTTTGATTACTACATTCATATTAAATTCTTAAAATATGGTCTAATTTTTTATTTATTTATTTTTTTTATATATAACTTAGAACTTACTTAAAGCTAACTTAATTTACTATTTATGTATAAATATTGACATGTACCGCTATGTTCATCACCAATACTATCCCTAACCCCACTCTCACCGTCATTGCTATCACCAGCTACCTTTACCACTACTACCACTACATGATCATCATTGCCACCATTGCCACAAGTACCACCACGATTATTGGTACCACTATCACTACTACCCTTACTACCACAATTCTTTATCTTTACGACTATCACTAGCCGATAGTCACAACCAACATTGTACCACCACAACTACCACCACCGGTCTATCTCAACTACACCACCCTTTTACCATCACCATAACCACTTTTGTAACGTCCCAAATTTCTAACCCAAATGATAATACAACAATCATGGCTCTTTCAAGGAAAACCGAATATAAATCTCCAAACTTACATTACATGATACAATAGTTCTTCATGCAACAATACATTAATTCAACAACAAGTAAATAAACAAATAAATACCCCCAAAGGGTTTACAAGTTTTCAAGGTTTCAACCTGGTTACACAAAATGGTTATTCAAACCCACACACATATAGCCCTTGGCTTACACATAGAGTCACAGCAAAATGAGAGTCTTGTACTCTCAACACACATTTCCTAGTTAGCCGGCATCACCACATCTCTTCTTTATATCACTTTTGTATATATCTCTCTCTCTAAAAACATTTCCTGTAGGGTGAGCATAAAGCCCAGTAGGAAATCCTTAACAAGTATATACATTTTATACAAGTCTCAAGAGATGAAATGCACATGCTATGCTATGCCCTTTTGAAAGAAAATCACATCTTCATCTTTGAAAACCATCATGCTCAATGATGTCATGCAATTTCAATTCTTCAAAACTTAACAATTCATTTCAAGAGCAGTAAATACGACTCTAGTAATCCCTAGGTTGGTGTCTGTAAGTAGACTATACAAGTACTACCAATTTGTCGTTTTTACCAGCATTGACTGGAAGGCTCGACACCTATAATCTGTCATTTTTACCAGTATTAACTGAAAGGCTCGACACCCATTCAATTTCAGCTACACCACCTGTCAAGACTTACCACCGTATTTATCCCAAAACCAATTCATGGAAACTTGTTTCTCAACATTCTTTTCTCAATGCAAGTTTTCAAATCAACTTTCAAAGTTTAATGTAATCAAATGATTTGATATGCAGGTTTTCTCACCAAAACTATACAACTCAAATCTTTTGAAAAGAAAACTTTTCAAAATCATATTTTCTTCAATCAACGAAGATCAAAACACATAAGATCATTTTAAAAGAATAAGAGACAAACCCATTTTCAAAATCGCTCAACTTCTTGAATCAACAATCAATTTTCAAAGCTGTCGAAGGATGATTTTGAAAATCATCTAGATCTTGCAAATATATGTATATATATATATATATATATATAACTCTAAGAAAATCCCTACCTCAAGTTTTGAAGAAGAAATGAGATGAAACCCCCAAAATCAACGATGTTGAAACTCGATCTTCACCGCACACAACGAAACCCTCGAGAAGTTAACTAATTTTGATGAAGAACCTATGGCAGAACTCTAATGGATCTTGAGAAATCAAGATTTTGATCCAATTTGGCATAGGGAAATGTAGAGAGAAGGGAGAGGAAATGTTTTTAGAGAGAGAGATATATACAAAAGTGATATAAAATATCAAATTCATGAACTGATATAACATGGTCTGCTCGAGCGTGAAAAGCCCCGCCCGAGCGTCGAATACACCTTCCCAGTACTTTTGCAGACATGTCAAACTTCTGGAACTAAACATTCTCCGCTCGAGCGCATAAACAGCCACTCGAGCGTACAAGCAACTTTGAATGCATTTTGCATTTTTGCTTCGGGGGAGCTGCCCCTCGACCCCGCCAAGGCACTACCCTCGGACTTGCCAAGGAGCGCTGCCCCCTGGACCCCCGCGAGCTAACGAGGCAGCTCGATTCCCGATCAGCCCAGTCGAAGTGGCAAAACAAGAAAAAATAGTCAAAACCGAGATCGCTACAACTTTCATACCACCACCATCGCCCTTGGTGCCATAGCAACCACCCCTACTACCTCACCACGACTATATAAAAATAATGATTTTAAATTTTATCACACCACGTATATATCAAGCAACGTGTTTTAATTCTTTTTTGGGGTGAATGCTTGTTTTAATTTAGTAATTAACTTTTTATCAAATTATATTTTAACTTAAAAAATTCAACATTCAGTTTTTACTATTTAATTCTCAACTTTCAATTTTCAATTTTAACAAACACCATTTAAGATGATGTTTGGTGCAAGTTTTACAAGTTGAAAACTGGCTTATAGAAAATATATGTTAAAAACACTACTCCTGCAAGATCGCTACAACTTTTATACCACCACCATCGCCCTTGGTGCCATAGCAACCACCCCTACTACCTCACCACGACTATATAAAAATAATGATTTTAAATTTTATCACATCACGTATATATCAAGCAACGTGTTTTAATTCTTTTTTGGGGTGAATGCTTGTTTTAATTTAGTAATTAACTTTTTATCAAATTATATTTTAACTTAAAAAATTCAACATTCAGTTTTTACTATTTAATTCTCAACTTTCAATTTTCAATTTTAACAAACACCATTTAAGATGATGTTTGGTGCAAGTTTTACAAGTTGAAAACTGGCTTATAGAAAATATATGTTAAAAACACTACTCCTGCAAGTTTCAAATATGTTAAAAACACTACTCCAATTATCAAATAATCTTTTTTTTTATAGTTTATTTAAATTATTTTAATCTAATAAATTATAAGAAAAAATGCACCAAACAACACTCTGCATAGACTTTTAAAATTTAAAAATATAAGTAATTGCACTTGACATATGAATTTACTAGGCTTTATTTATTTTTATTTATTTTAAGTAATAGTTCTTGGGGGCCATTCATTCAATTTGTTTTCCTACTTGCCTGCTCAATAGGGAATTTGGTTTATTGCTGAAAATTTCCTACTAACATTAATTCATCATTCATGATTTGGGCTAACTCTATGGTTAGGGCTAACTCTATCGTTAGGGTAGTTTTGACTTTTACTAACATATTTTTCCATGAGTTGATAAAAGTGTCAATGTGTCTTTCATTTTAAGTTGTTAAATTAAGTTATGGTTTTTCTAAGAAAAAAGTCAACAATGACTCCTCCCCACAAGTTCTTAGTAGATGGGGGTCCTACAAAAGAACATATCAGAACAGTTTATGCAATAAAAATCAATTAAATAATTAAAGGACTAAAATTTTAGAAATAGATAAAAAAATACTTCTTAACTTTACAAATTCCGTTATTTTTATTTATTTATTTTTTTATAACATCCTACTTATATATTATTAAAAATGCTAGATATTTCTAATAAATTACAAACTAAGTAACTATTAGGTGTGGGTCTCCAACATCTATGGATATGCAACTTATATAATTGATAATTTAATTTATAATTTAGTAAGAATTTGTAAAAGGACGATCATATTAAATGACTTGTTAAAATTGCAGTTTAATTGATTATATATTGAAATTTAATTAATAATTCAATTTTTTTTTGAAAAAATAATTTGTTAGATTTACTTACTTTTTGAATTAAAAAATATATTAAATGATTTTTTAGAATTTATCAATTATGTATTGAAATTTAATTAATAAAAAATTATAAAATAAAAAAAAATGGCATGTCGGATTTATTTATTTTTGTTCTCATGAAATAATATTTCACAAAGTTTATGTGAAAAATTATTTTTAATTAATGATGTACCAAAGCCAACTCAATATTTTTTTAACATAAATTATAAATACACTCATAAAATTTGCTTAAAATACTAATTAGCTCATATGATTTTAAAAATTATATCCCACCCCTTAAATTTTCTAATCACATAACAAATAACACTTTCATTAATCAACTATTATGTCAATTAATTGTTTTTAATGATATCTTTAATTAACAGTTTTAGTCATTCATTATTGTATAGGAGAATAGTTAGAAATTTTATTTTTCAATCAATTCTATTAAATAACAAATTATGACAAAAAAGATAATTCTAATTTTTGAAATCACAATGAGCAATTTATATATTAACCAAACTCAAAAATTATATTTGTGATATATCCTTTTTATTTTATTTTATTTTATACACACATTGATTTCTAGACAAAATTTCTAATTCCACCCTTGGCTAGTACAATATATATATATATATATATATTTTGATCAGCAAAGAAAATTTTATTAAAGATAAAAAGGGTACAAGATCGGGTAAAAAATGCATCATAGCTAAAAGATTGGCTAGTACAATATGGTAAATAAATTATAGCTTGCTTGTATGTAGGTTATTCAACTATAAAAAGAGAGAGCCCTTATATAGATTTTCTGCAACAAAGCAATAAGATTTCAATTTTCTTTTCGAGGTGTGTTTGGAAAGAAGGAAAATCTAAGAAATGGGTGTTGGAGTGGGTGTTGTGATGATGATGTTGGGCATAGTGATATGCCTTGCCACGGTGGCACATGCAGCTCAAGGGACTGCTACTTACTATGGTCCTCCTTACACTCGTGAGTGTTATTTTTATTTTATTTTTTAATTAGATGTTTGAAGTTTGAGTGCATCAAGATTATTTTTAAAATCTTGAAATTAACGGCTCGATAAACATTCATTGACTCCTTGAAGTTATTCAAGATTTTGATTCTTATTATTAAATCTTTACTAAGTGCTCGTTGTGCTATTCGGGCCTATGGGGTCTATCAGAAGTTTTGTTTTGATTATTTGAACCATTCAATATGTAGAGCTCGTCAAGTATTTCATTCTTGTAAGAAATATATTGATCAGATATCGATAACTATTTAATTAGGTCAGATTTTTGTCAACAATTTATTTTAAAAATCATAGTTACTGTTGACAAAAATATGATTTGATCAAATGACTATCGATATCCGATTAACATGATTTTTTTGCAGGGATGAAGTACTTGGCGAGTTTTACACGTCGAACAGTTCGGATTATCGAAATAAGACCCATGATGGGTCCCTATGAGCCTAACAATATATTGGGGGTGTTTGTTTGGACTTTTTTAAGCTAATTTATAACTTCTAACTTTGGAAAAGCTATTTTTGACAGTTTGATTAAACTTATTTCAAACAACTTCTGATTCTAACAACTTATCTTAACTAAAAAAAGCTGATTCTGGGAAGCTGCTCACCCTTACTTCTAACTTCTTCTATAGACATGTTAATTTAAAGTTATGCTCTTAGATTTTTTTATTTTATATTTTTTTTAAAATAGAAAAAGATCCAAATGGACTATAGATTATTGTTAATATTTTTTATGAGACATGTAGACAAATAGTGAATAACAAAAAATAATAGTTAACAGAAAAAGTTACTTCACAACTTATTTAACAAACACTATTTCGCAACTTAAATCTATAGTCTAATAGTTACACAAAACAAATTAACAGCTTATGATTAAAGTCATAATTTATAATCTGTTGAGCTATAATTTATAATCTGTTTTAACAGTTACATCAAATGAGGCCACTCTAATCTGATCTCGGATTGGAAAGAAGCCTGACCTATAATTTATACACCACTTGTATGCAACAACAAACTTATGCATATTCTACATTATCTATTTGAAAATTCTTGTTTTCAAAAATCTTATAACTATAAGAAAAAATACATTCGGCGACCAAATTTCCCGACTAAAAAGAATTTGGTCGCTGAAAGTATAGCTTTCAGCGACTAAAAAAGCATTAGTAGCCAATTGTACACAAAACAAATTAACAGCTTATGATTAAAGTCATAATTTATAATCTGTTGAGCTATAATTTATAATCTGTTTTAACAGTTACATCAAATGAGGCCACTCTAATCTGATCTCGGATTGGAAAGAAGCCTGGCCTATAATTTATACACCACTTGTATGCAACAACAAACTTATGCATGTTCTACATTATCTATTTGAAAATTCTTGTTTTCAAAAATCTTATCACTATAAGAAAAAATACATTCGGCGACCAAATTTCCCGACTAAAAAGAATTTGGTCACTGAAAGTATAGCTTTCAGCGACTAAAAAAGCATTAGTAGCCAATTGTAAAGCTTTTTGGCGACTAAAAAAATTCAGTAGCCAAAAGTCAACAATTGGCGACTAAAAATAAGTTTGGTCGCCAATTATATGGGTTTTACCGACTAAAATATTTTTAGTAGCCAAAAGTATAGTTTTTGCCGACTAAAAAAAATTTAATAGCCAAAAAGGCAACAATTGGCGACTAATTATAATTTTGGTCGCCAATTATGTGGGTTTTACCGAATAAAACATTTTTAGTAGCCAAAAGTACAGTTTTTGCCGACTAAAAAAAATGTAGTAGCCAAAAAGTCTACAATTGGCTACTAAAAATATGTTTAGTAGCGTAAAGTGCTCTTTTTTAGCGCGAAAGTCTCTTTGCGACCAAAATTATTTTGGTCGCGAAAAGTTAAATTTTTATTTTTATTATGCTACCAAATAATTTAGCGTAAAGTGCTCTTTTTTAGCGCGAAAGTCTCTTCTGGTCGCTAAAAGTTAAATTTTTATTTTTATTTTGCTACTAAATAATTTGTTTTTACATAAATTATGTCAATAAAAATAATTGTTTTTATACATATACTTTTATATTAATACGAGTCTATGTAGTATATAAATAATATATATTACATTTATAATCATGTGGTGTTATAGAGGCGTAGTGGGAAGTGTGTGGTGCATAAGGTTTATGGTGTGGGAGGTTAGTTGTTCGAGTCTTTATAAGAGCGGGCGCAAAACTTAACAATGAATTATTTTTTTTCACGGATGCAGCCTTTGGCGACTAAAAATGTTGGTCGCCGTTTGATAGCTTTTGGCGACTAAAGATTTTGGTCGGCGATTCCTTGACTATTGGCGACTAAAACATTGGTCGGTGAATGAATGATTTTAAAGAAATATAATTGACTATTGGCGACCAAAATTTTGGTCGCTAAAGACTTGCTTTTTGCCAACCAAAGGGTTTTTAGTCGGCAAAACCTTTCCCGACAGGTTTTTGGCGACAAATGTAGCGACCAAAATTTTTTGTCGCAGAATGGCTTTGGCGACCAAAAAACAGACAATTGGCGCCCAATATTTTAGTAGCTAAAAGAGACTTTTTTTGTAGTGTATCATCTGGTTTTAGTCTTTATATTTTTTTTATATCATTTTGGTTTGTATAATTTTAATTCAAATTAATTTTGACTCTAAACTTTTTATTTTGTGTGTCACACTTTTAGGAATAAAATTAAAAATTTGATCAATTTAGTGATATAACCTCAATTAAATCAGTGTTTTTTTTTTAATATAAAAAACCCTAAGGATTTTTTTTTTGTTTTAATCAAAAACCCTAAGGATGTTATCAATTGAACCAAACTTATAGAAAATCTAAAATTAAAGGTAAAAATTGAGCAAATTAAAACTATAAGGACTAAAATGTCACAAGCAACAAAATGTAAGAACTACCAATATATATATATATATATATATATATTGTGTGTGGTTTTGCTTTTTTAATGTATAACACTTCTAATCATAGTATACTAACAATAACCCGTGCGATGCATAAGAAAATAGACCATATACATTTTGTGTGATAATTAAATTATTTTAACCTTGAATTATATTTTAATGGTGGCAAACCATGATGTTAGGCCATCCTGGTAGATGTTAACAATAATTAACTTACGAAATTTCAAAATAAAATTTGATATGCATGAAAAATTGTTAATTATAAAGATTATTAGGGATAATAGTATGGGTGAACTGTATGCATGTGAGAGAAGAGGAAAAAAATTAAAAAGCATGGGGGGTTCAAGTATGTTTATGGTGGGATGCAAATGAAAAGTTGTGGAGGTGCAAGTGTCACTTGCATCCCTCCATGTGTTGATAATTTTTTTCTTTTCTTCCACTTGTATGTAATTCCCCTTAATAGGATCACAATCAGTTGATAGCATAAATAACTTGCATGAAACTGTAGTCTTATGCAGGGGAAAAAAAACATACAACATTAAAAGAGAGAAAATCTATAATCTCATAAAAGTTATCATAAATGTACACTTTTAAATCAGTGGTGTATATTACTATTGTGGGACCAAATTTTAAATAAATCTCAACCTTGAATTATTATTTCTAAGTAGTTTTTAATTTTTTTTAATATAAATTTGTTGCCCTGCTCATAAAAAGAACTTCTCAAACAAATCATCATTTGATTCTATTAGTAACCCTCTATCTTTGACATGCATATCATATCAAAGTATAAATTCTTTTCCATAATCATTTTATCCATAATTTGAATAATACTTGCATAGTTCCTACAACATTTAAAAATAAATAAATCAAGAAAAGATCTTCTTAGGATTATAAAAATTATACAAGAAAATAGTTTTAATCTATTTTATTTATAAAATAAAATGATGACAAATTATTTGAACTTTACTTGAAGATATATAACAAATGATAGTTTTAATCATTATATACTAACAAAAAAAAATATACATGCTACTCAATGAAAAATGGTCGAATGCAACAAAAATCATGGATATTGAATTAAATCATATGGGTTCTAAATTAATAATATAATCTAGCAAATTAACTAAAAATAATAGAGAGAGAGATTGACAAATATGTAGTATCTCCCTACCATGTTTGTATTATGTTCATTAATTTGATATATCAAATGAAAGTGTTATTGATCTTGATCTTTCAATAAAATATGTAGCAAGAAAAACAAATTTAATAAGAAATTGGTTCTAAAATTTATTATTAAAGAAACAAAAATTTCAGAGAGAGACTAAGTAAATTGAGAGATGAGATTGAAGAAATACTATAACAAATGACAACCTCAAAAAAAAAAAAAAAAAAAAAAAAAAAAAAAAAAAAAACAATGATTTAAAGTAAATTATTTTCAACAACTAAAAGAAAGAACAATAATTATTACCTTGGATAAATATAGTGATGAAAATTAATTTTGTGTGATTTTTATGCTGCCTCCTCCCATATGGCCTTCATCATCCCATTATCAATACTCTTCTCGTTCAGAGCCAACAAAAAGAAATTGTTTTATCTTTATCACTTGATAAACAATTACGAATAATAAAAATGGTAAAAAATTCAAAGTAAAAAAGAATAATGTGATGGAATGAGAAAAAAAATGAATAAATTAAAATAAAGATTTAGATATATATGTTTTTGGTAGATATATATTAATAAATCATATCTTTATCTAAATTTTATTATTTTAATTTTTTTTAAATGAATTATTTAATCTTTTTATTTTGTAAACCATGAAATTAATTCTAACATGTTTATCTACGGGGAGAGACTTTAAAATTCAAATATTTATCTATAAGTCGTGAAATTTATTATTTTAATTAATTATTTAATTTTTATCTTTATTTGTAAACAATGAAATTAATTTTCATAAATTATTTAACAATTTTTATATGTTTATCTATAGGGAGGAATTTTGAAATTCAAATCTTTATCCATAAGACATGAAATTAATTTTTATTTTAATTAATCAAACAATTAGAAAATTAAAGAAAATAGAAAATATGAAAGATAATGAAAGAGGATTGTCCCATAGGAAAAAGAGAGTTTTAAAATTATGAGATTTTATGAATAGACTTTTGGGAGCTTTTTGAGAAAAAAATTATATTTGCTTATATGTATAGATATCATGCAAACACCTAACAAATTTAGACTTTGTTTGGCAACCAATTTTTTGGCAAAAAAGCACAAAAGATAAAATAGGAAATAAATCAATAAGAAAAAAATATCACATTTAAATTATAATCATTTCACTTTTTCTCTTATAAAAGTTAAAAAAGTTAAAAAAATCAAACCTAATAAATTTTTAATTCCAAGTTAAAATAACTAAAAAAATAAAAAAAAATCAATTAAAAAATCTATTGCCAGACGAGGACTTAAACACGTACAAACAGGTGACCTTTTTCAACATATGCTCTCTATTTTTATTTATTTATTTATTTTTTTTCCAGCATCTGCATGTTATGGGAACCAAGACAAAGGAGTAATGATAGCCGCGTCAAGTGACGCCATAGGGGGGAAGGCGGCGTGTGGAAGAAAGTACAAAGTGACGTGTACGGGTCCGACAAATCAGGGTGTGCCACGTCCTTGCACCGGTAAAAGTGTAGTAGTAACCATCGTCGATTACTGTCCACCTGGCTGCCAGGGAACCATCGATCTCTCTCAAGCTGCTTTCGCCATGATTGCTGACCGCAAAGCGGGCAAAGTCAACATCAAATTTACCCGGTAAGCCCGACTAACTCTCATTCACGATATAAATACTAATGTTACATAATCTTAATTTTCACTGTTCCTTTATTTATTTTAGTGAAAAATATTTTTATATTTAGTTATGTTTTTGAAACTAATAACTAATAGTTACATTAGTGGTGGTAATAGTGGAGGGGTTAGGATGGCGGCGACAGTGGCCATGGTTATCAGAATTTCAATTCGGATCTTACAATCCATTTGGACACAATCTATTCGAATCGTGCAAAAAATCTCTTACAAACAGGACCTTTTGATCTTTGGTAATTCAATCTTATAGGATTATAGAATCCCAATCTAAATCCATTCCTATCCGATTGTAAGTCTTGATTTGTATTGTATGACCTATTTTATTATAAATTTTATATTTGTTGTCTAAATATCAATTTATGTGGTCCAAATGAATAAAAAAAAAATAGTATTGAATCAAATAGGTTAAGAAAAATAAATTAAGAAACAAACATTTGCATATTGTAGCAATTTAAGAAAACTAAATAGTCGAAAAAACAAAGTTATCTTTAGTGGGATTAGAGGAAGACAAGATGATTGCAACTTTATCCCAATTTTTAAAAAGATTATTTTTGTGACTCAACTTGCTCCACTAGATATGCTAACGATAAACTTTATCATTCGGTTTAGCCGCTCTTTTGAATTTTCAATTTATTTTCATATGCTACTTTGTTAAATATATATATATATATATTCACTTTTTATGTATTATTGTAAATTGCAAAGTCTTATGTTATAGAATTCTTCTTCTTCACCTTCTCTTTTGATGAAATACAAAATTTTTACCACCGAATTTTCTATTGTATGTATTATATTTACATTTTACATGAAATATTATATTTTTCACAATATCTTAACTTTTTTTTAATAAAATATAAGTTACGTATATTTTTTAACAAATATTTATTTAAATTAAATTATTACGTAATTTGTCTTTTTCGATAGGATCCTACATTCTCGATCCAATCTTGTAAACACATCCAATGACCCAACGTAGGATTATGATTTTAACAACCTTGGTGATAGCGGCGGCGGCAGTAGTGGTGGTGGTAAAGATGGGTTGAAGGAGGTAGTAGTAGAGGTAGTAGTGTGGTAGCAGTGGAAGTGGACATGGTGGCAACAATAGCGGTGGTAATAGTGATGGTAGTGGCAATGTAGTGACATTGGTAAAATTCTAATTGAGAAAACATTTTTGACCTTTTAAAATTATAAAATATTTTCTATCCAAATAAACTAATTTTCAGTTGACAAAAAAATATTTTCGGTTGAATTTATATATGTATATATATATTTTTCCCACCGTTAGGCCAAATGAGTAGCAATTTCTTTAAATTATACATTTAGTGGGTAAGGTTTTAAATGATTTAGTTGTCCATCACTTATTGCTCTCTTTTCTTTCTTTTTTCTTTTTATTATTTTTTTATTGTTGTGATTTTGCAGGGCATGAAGCTATAATATATATATATATATATATGCATATAGTAAGAAAGATTTGGAAGGGACATGCTGATATTAATATAGAAATAACTCAAGCATTTCATGGAAACTTTGTATGTTTCCATGTGTTATGTTGTGACCATGTGATGCATCTGTATCAGTGGAATAAATAAAAATCATTTCTAAGCTTTTACCCATTATATAAGAGTAGTGAGATGGTCGTGTGCAAGATAGGCTAGCTAATACTCATTATTGGTGCCCGTTATGAAAAAAACTTAATAATTGTAAAATATAAATAGCTAAATATCAATGAAAATTGACTACTTGAAAAATTATTCATGCAAATAAGTAAAAACTACTTCAAAAGAAGATTAAAACAAAATTAAGAAAAAATAATGTCTTTGTCCATAATCTACACATAGAAGTGTGACCGATTGTCGTTTATCAAAACCAACAATGCTAATGTTCACAAAGAGATGGAGAGGAAGAAATTAAAAGCAGACTAAAATTAACAAAAAAATGACAAAATCAAGAACAACGATCCTGTGCTTATGCTCACATATGAATTTATCCCATGGTTGTAGCGCATCAAGATTTGCAATATATATTCAAGAAAATAAGTCAGTCACACTATGATTTTATTAAAAAAAAATAAAAAAATCAATTGTCTAACTAAAGCTCCAATTGAACAAAAATAAAAATAATTGTTCGTTGGCCATGCAAGGTTGCTAATATGATTACACCCATTTGCACGTATCAAACAATATTAGTACACATTGAAATGAAATTCAAATACATTATTGGACAAACTGAAAAAAGAAAAACAGGATTCAAATTCTTTCTTTCACCCAACTTCATAATTAGATATTAAAACACGAACTTTTTTGTACTTTCAAATATATAATAAACAGTCACCATAGAAAAGTACAATTTTGTATGAACACAACCACACCAAACAATGACTTTTGATACCTTCATCGTGATGAGATTTTCAAATTTTGGATGCTAGCTGCCAAATGTTGGCCGTCTGATAATGACGAACTTCCATGAATTACTCTTTGAGAAATAAATGGTTGTGAAGACACAAAGAAGGAATAATAAACCTGCAGAAGATAGAAAAATAAATGTAAAGAATGACATTCTATATGTGTTACGACCCCATCCTGCCCCAAACCCCAAACAAGATAGTATAGTGATCAGCCAATAATGGCAGACTACCAAATGTTGGAAGTGGGAGAGGGGGAAGGCCTAACTTTCAAAACAAGTTGGACTTCTATGACAATGAAAGCATACATTCCTCTTGGATTGTTATCTACATTATTACATGACTTAAACAATAAAACAAAATGCAACACTTATGACATAACTTTACAAAATCACCACAAGCATATAACATTGACTTCTAATCAACTTCTCTTTGTATTCAGACTCTTTATCACTTACATATATATATATATAAGGGAGAGGGGTGAGCTATTGTCCAGTGAATAGTAATACAATAAAGTGGTAAACGAATGAACATCGATGAGTTTTAATAAAACCAGCACAAGATCATAGTTCAAAAATAACATAATTTGTACATGTAAACAAAGCTTAAATTGCAAATACATACATAGCGATGACCATTCCAAGGTTTTCGAGTCAAGAGTCCACAACAGGTGGCTAGAGGAGCTCGGTTAGTTAAAAGTTATTGGCATGATTCACAATAACAAACAAGATCCAAGTTGTCATCTTAATACATGGTAAAAAAAAAAAAAATATAAGATGTTCATTCATAACAAAACAATATCATAGCTTTCTTAAAATATCGTAAGTTTGCATTTTGAATAATAGCTTTAACAAAAATAATTTTACTATACTACTACTCACAAATGGCTCTTGAACAAAGGGTTACTTCCTCCAAAGTGCTTGACCTACAAAAGTACAATAAAAGCATTCAATGAAATATGGTCTAAAGCGATGAAACATTACTCTTTTCGGTTCTAATTCTAATGTTCTAGCTTATCTTTATACTATTTCTCTCAACTATACACTTTTAGGTCTGTTTTCAAGTCTTATTTTATTTTATTTCAAGTACCAATTGAGCAAAACGAAGCCCAACAAGCCAAAAAGGTGAAAAGTTGAGCAAACTCTCTGTTGGCCATTGTGGGATGCCTTTAGGGTTACCAAGCGCACCATATAGTTCAAACTTCCGATCTCTTGATCTAGTCTCACTATGCAATGTGAAACAGAAAATGAGAGTTCAAATCCGACAACTTTTATAGAAAATCCATTTATTTCAAAATATGTCAGAAATGGATTATATCACTAGATTTCAGAGTCGCCACCTAATCTTTTGGAGAAATTAGGAAACCCGTGACTCGTGCCAAAGGCCATTATTCGCCATCACCAAATTGTCTCAGATATGACATGGTATCATCTCAAGATATGTGGTAGCGCATATATTTAACTTAGAAATGATAAGCCTACAAATGCAAATGAGCTGGACTTGAATGCATAAAAAATGGATGCAATACATGAGTGTGATAAATAAGACGTGATGATATATAGAAAGCTTGTAAATAAAAGGATTAGAAAGACGTCAGGCTGAAGATTATTACAACAATTTGAATGGAAAAAAAAGGGAAAGAAGAGAGATAGAGAGAGAGAGAGAGAGAGAGAGATTATTACAATAATTGAATAAATAATAAAAGAAAAGAAAGAGGATTTGAGAATTATTACAACATTGACTTGATATAGCCAAACTACTGTTAAATTCAACAAATCATATTAAATAAGGCAAATAAACCATCTAGCAGCTCTAGAACCACTCAGGAGAGCACTTCCCAGAAACTGTTTGCTCTGTTCTTGGGAGAATCATCCAACCAGATACAAAATGGGTCGGTCAAACAGGAAATTGGCCAGTCGAACTCTTTTTCTAGTTAAGATTTAGGTCAGTGTAGAAAATTCATAACAGAAGCTAAGAACATTTTCCAAGGGGTGCTCATTTCTTCTACCTCCTTCACTTATAGAAATCACTTAGGAAAGAAGTAGATCGATCTCAACCATTAACCATAGTATGAACATATATTTATATACAATAGATATTTTCACTACAAAAAAAAAACACTTTTAGCGACCTTTTTTTTAGTCACCAAAAGTGTAATTTTGGTTGCTAAAAGTATCCGCGACATCAACAAAATCGGTCGCTAAAGCCCTGTCACTAAATGGTTCAGCGACCAAATAAATTTTGGTCGCCTTATAAATAAATCGGTGACCAAATATTTCAGTCGCTCAAAGATTGAAATTTCGTCGCCATAAATTAACATTTAGTCGCTAAAAATAGCCTTAAGCAGATGACATGTTAGGTTTTAGCGACATATAAATGCGTCGCTAAAAATATCTTTCAGTGACTAAATGAATTAGTTGTTGAATGTTAAAACTTTTGGCGACCAATCAAGTTTTGGGTCGGTAAAAAAATTATTCACACAGACTTTCAACAACGTGAACAAAGTGTCACCAAAAATAAATTTACAACTGCAAAACCTGTCACCAAAATTCATTATTTATAAAAAAAATTTACAATTTCCATGTTCTGTACATAATTCATAAACCTATAAACATAAGCGAAATATAATTTAAATTAACACACTTGTGTAAAACATCCAAAATATAAACTTCATTCAAAAGTAGTAGTCTATTAAATATAAGCAAATTATTAGATCCAAAACATCCAATATAAGTACAAATCCCTTACAATTCCAAACTTCAAACATATGTAATTCCAAAAAAACTTCTAGGCTTGCAAATTCATAACAAAAACCTATGACAAAATATATCAAAACATTCAAAATGTAATCCTTTGATGCTCCCCGAACTATGTTCCATCCATTGCCAATCTGTCAAACATATGAAAAAAATTACAATGTTAAAATGTTAATAATAAAGTTCTTGGTCTGAAAACATTGGTTTAACATTATAGATGAACAAATTAGGAGCAAATTTTCCTATGGTGAATTACAAGATTTCAATATATCAAAATCAAAAAGTAACACATGATTCACCAATTAAAACTTGGCATGTACGAAAAGTTAAAACAATGTTCATGTGCTAAGCCAGAACCTACAATCTATTGTAAATATATTTTCTAGAGACACCAAGAATATACATCACCATGACATAAGAGACCAAATACCAAATGAAAAATTAATTACTTTACATTAGATTAGTTAAACCAGTATTTCAAAAGCTGAACAAACCCCGCTGATCAACATAGGAGGTTGTTAAGGTTAGGAACCACTTTCCTGGGCAAGCCAACTACATATGCAACATTATAAAGGATCTATTTCATAATATTCTTTACTCATGGAAGAATCAAAAGAATACACAAATTTATTCAAGTACACATATTTTTTTATAGGTACTCAGTTAAATTTTTGTGTCACATTTTTGTCTTTTATGTCCATTGATTGAGCAGTCACCATCTTTTAGAGTCCAAAGTTATATATCAAAACATGAGAGAATTTTTTTATTTTTTTATTTTTTTTAAAGAAGAAGAAGAAGAAGAAGAAGAAGAAGAAGAAGAAGAAGAAGAAGAAAAAGAAAAAGCTGCAATTTGCATACCTCTTCATAAAATGTCATTACTGTAAGACGGTATCCTGCTAAAAGCAAATACTCCTTTACAGCACAGTTGAGATCTCGACGTTCATTGTCCTTCAAAGGGCCCGAGTCAGAAAAGGAAGTCTCTCTCTTTCCTTGTTGAGAATGTACCCCATTATTTGCAGAAACATTGTCATTTGTCCCTGAAAAATGCAATTAAGATAGATTAAATTCACAAAACCGGAGAAAACATTGTGGCCTATTTGATGATAGAATATAAAAACTATAATGAAACCTACAAAGCACCACTGTAAACCAGGAAAAACTAATAAGATCTCATTATTTACTGTGAAATTTTAATTTAAACAGAAAAAATCATAAAGATGTTGAAGAAGGGAACAAGAAAAGGTGTACAGATATGAGTTTTTTAATATGTTCGCTTCTAAAAACTCTATTTTACCGTGGATGATTAATAGCCAACACAGTCATAGGAGAATATTGCATACGCAGAGCAAAAAAATAAGAGGAGATATGAAGGAACTCAATTTTATTCCAGGTGTTCCTATATATCTACTAAATTTAACATCAAAATTATACTTCCTAATCCATGCTTGTATCAAAG